CTTAACATGAAAATCACTTTGCACACAGAGTATTCAAAACAAATACTTGATATATTCATGGACAAATCTTTAGTAAATTACTTCATTAAGAAATTTATTTTATATATACAAAATACTTGTAATTTGTACTAAAAGTCTGCCCAATTTTGTGAAGATATACACACTGTATTAAAAGTAATTGTATTAAAATCATATATAAGTAAAAATTGTTCTTTAGTCAATCACTAGGACTAACCCTGTATTAAGAGTGTTAATATGAAAATTAATTTTTTATTTGTGACCAAAAAATCAGTAAATAAAGCCATTAGTTTTTATTTTATATTTGAAAAGGTATGTGTGCAAATAAACCTTTCATTGTTTTCATATAATTTATTGGATTGTAAATGAAAATAAGTGTTGGATAGAAGCACGTAAGAACTTTCTTATGAATAAAATGACTAATTTAATAAATTATATCTATTTATTTTACTGATTCTTGACTTGCCTGTGATAAAAAAAAATCTATCAAAATGCCAGAAATTTACCTGGAGGAATGTAGAAGTGTTATTCTTTATTGTGTCCTTGCAACATGTTTACTGTATGTCTGCTGTTGCTAACTGTACTGTATTTTTTAGGCTCTCTAATCCTTATGTAATCGGTAGGTCAAAGTGACCTTTTATAGAGTTACATTCAAAATTTAATTAAACTACTTTATTGTTAATGTACACTACTACACTTGGTGTCAAAATGTACTTAATAAGTCAAATTTTAATTTAATTTTAAGTTTGTAATTTCATAAGGAAAGATTTTTTAAAATCCTCAATCTTCCCTAGTATGAGATTTGTAACATTGTTCTCTCCAGGTCTTTCCCCTTCTCTAATATATTTATCACCTCTCTCTCTGAAGAATGGAATTGAATGAAATTACTCATTATAATATAGATATTACTGAAGCAAAGTTATTTTTATAGCCTTCAATCTTAGAAACATTAGAATATCAGACCCACTTGCCATGTCCACCTGTCACATCCTCTCTTTCACAAATTGCCATTAATTCTCTGATGTTTTATGCTATATCATTTATAAACAATAGAAACAAAGAGTTTAAATCTGTGTTGGATAGTGGATAATGTTACAATGTTTTCTGTACAAAGTATTATCAGTATCAATTTAAGCCACTTAAATTATAATAGTTATAGGCCATTGTTTGCTTTGTTCGTATTATTATTTTTTATTCCCAAGTGCATTATTTAATGTACTAGTGCAATAAGCACTATATTTCTTGTTTTTCATGTATACTTTTCATTTATTGTTATAAAAGTAACTACAATGTAAAAATTAGAAATTTATTAGGTTAGATTAGTTAAGATAATGAAGAACAATTTTTCTCATGAGCAGTTTGTGTGTTATATCATTCAACATTGAAATGTTCAGTTGCCAGTTTAGACATGGTTGAAAGAGCAATAAAACAATCAAATTAAGTATAAACAGATGTAAACTGTTATGAGATTTAAGCTAGTTTGGATAAACATTTGTAGTTTCCTGTTACAACTTGCAGTTATTCTAGAAAGAAAAAACGAGTAATTTAGTTTTATTTTGTATTTTTTATGGTGATTACAAGGTCAGTCAAATCAGCTAAGTTTGTATAGAGTTGGGTAGAGAAAATAACAGATAAAATATAAAGTTTTACTAAAAATACTTCATTCAAAAAATCTGATTTTTTGTGCACAAAAGAGTTACAATGTTTATTGAAATCATGCAAAATTTTATGAAGATACATGATACATATTAAAAGTTATATTATGGAAACTGATGGTTACTTTGGGGTTACAATGTCGGTCACCTCGAATGAGCTTATATAGAAAGAGTTAACTTATGTACACCCAGAAGTAAAGTAAAATTAATTTCACACACACAAAGAATTGAAATTGTCTCCAGATCTATCTTTTAAACAAGATACAAATTGTTTATATAAAGTGTTAAAGTAGTGTAAAAGAACAAGAATTTTGTGTCAAAATCTGGTCTTGCTCTGTACAAATTGTTTAAAGTTTAAAATATGCATTTTTGTTTATTTTTCAGCTGGTGTAAATGCTTCCCATTACTCGGATATGTTCATTTTGTTATTCAAGCAGACTATGACTCAACTTGAACAGGTAAAGATACATAAAGTTTTCTGTATAACACTGTTGAAATACTCATCTTTTTGAAATTTCTTTATAAAAATTATAAAAGGCTAATTTGTAAATGGTATAGCATAACTTCTTGTAAGAAGTCAGCTAAGGAATGGGATAATTTTAAATTTTTAACAAAGGTTGCTGCTGAACAAAGATTTCTATTTATACATAGAAGCTTCTATTATCAAAATAAATGTTATAGAAATAGTAAATAAATTTATTAAAGAATCATTTTTTATTTTATTTTATTTTTCTTTGTTAAGACTACTTTTTCTAAGTTGTCAGTGAAGTTGATTACAAGCCACACTGCACTTATTGACTTTTGTGCAATTGTTGAAGTTTGTGTAAGGAATAAATATAGATAAAGGTTGCCCTGTTTGCAAAAGCTGGTTTTATTGGATATCTTGTAACGTAACTGCCTTAAGTAGTCGATTGTCACACATAACAAATTCTTATTCTCCCTGCTGCGTATATTGCATGGTATGAATGTTGACAGAAGACATGCTCTTGCCTGACTAGTTTCAATGTCATTAAGGTAAACAGTATGTTATTTCTGTGAGAACAGTCAATCACTTCTGAGTAATCTGGGATGATATGGAATTCCATTCTTGAAATAAATATCATGATTAGTAGCCTTTATGATCACCTAAAAAATAAAAATAATAACATTGATTAAAAAGAATAAACATAAGAAGTAGCAACAAGATAGTGGAAAAGCTGCCAAGAAGTACAAGGAATTCAAGTTATGAAGTACATTTTGCCGACTTGTGTAGGATACATTTTTATCAATCTAAGCTCATGAGTTGATCAGTTCTCTTTAGGTAGAAATAAAAAAAAACAGTTCCATTGTTGATTTTAATGGCTTTTAAAGATTAATTTGAATTAGAAAGTAATTTTTACTTTCTATGGATCTCAGAATTGATTTTCAGGAGTGGTAAAATGCACATCAATATTTAACATTTGTAACTTATCTAAAAAAGAATAATGATTAGTAGTTAGTATATAGGTATGATAAATGGATATGCCACAGTCTTAATGTTAGTATGTACCTGTTCTTGAAACTTTAGTGTCTTCTGCATATCTGACTATTTCTGTTATGTACATCTGTTTTGGATTTGAGCAAATTCTCTTAAAAATCTGAAATTATGTGCTCATGTAACAGAAAAGGTTGGACCCACTTACAGCAAATTTAGTGGCTTAGTACAAGAGGTGGCTGATCAAAGGAATTAAAATATATATATGAAAAACTATTGGAGGGGATAAAAACTAGCTAGATATGAGAGTATGAGAAATACCTTTAGTAGAGGTTAAACTGTAATAATATGAAAAGAATTAATTTACTTTGCAATTTAAATGTTTACCTGATTTACACAAATGAAACCTTTCATGTCTAAACTCTGTCTTTATGCTAACTTTTATGAAAAGGATTTGAAAAAAAATTTAAACTTGATTTCAAAAACATAATTTATTTCAAAATGGTTGAGTATTATTTTTTAAATGTTACCGAGTACAGATAAGTTGTGTGAATTATACAAATCATTTGAGCTTCTGAGCCCAGCATGGCCAGGTGGTTAGGACGCTTGACTCGCAATCTGAGGGTCACTGGTTCAAATCCCCGTCCTACCAAACATGCTCGCCCTTTCAGTCGTGGGGATGTTATGTGACAGTCAATCCCACAATCATCGATAAAAGAGTAGCCCAAGAGTTGGTGGTGATGACTAGCTGCATTCCCTCTAGTCTTTCACTGCTAAATTAGGGATGGCTAGTGCAGATAGCCCTTGTGAGAATTTCAAAAACAAACAAACATTTGAGCTTCCAATGTAATGTAGGTTATATAATATTTCTGTTTTTAGTAACTTAATTTCAGTGAAACTATTGGATTGTGTAAAGCTGAACTTGTAGCTTCAATTGAAAAACTGTAAATCTATTTAAAATGTACAGTGTTTCACTGAATTTTCTGTGTAACTGAATGTGAGAAAGATTTTGTATTCATGGCTTTTATTATTTGCTAGCCATGAATATAAATTTTCTCATGTTTAATTAATCAAAGAAAATTCATAAAGAAATTTAAATAAGAGCTCATATAAAATTTTTTAAAAAGGGTGCTTAATATAATTTACCTTAATTTAACACTTTTAAAATGTTGTTCATTTTATATTAGAAAGTTTTTCCAGCGAAGGCTATCATTTGTAAATAATTGTATTACTTGATATTAACTGAAAACTATATAAAATTTAAATATAAAATATATCCAAGCACTTTTAGTTAGGTATTGTCCATGAAAGATTATTTTGCCAGCACTTCGTTTTTTATCCATAAAAGATGCTTCTGCCAGCAGTTAGTTAAGTATTGTTGTCCATGAAAGGTGTCTCTGCCAGCACTTTTAGTCAAGTATTGTTGTTTATGAAAGATGTTTCTGTGTTAGCATTACTACTGCACAGTTGTTGCTCAGTAAACTTACAAAAGATGCTAATATCAGCATTATTGATGAAATGTTTTGTTCAATAACAGATGCTTCCCCCTGCTACCAACATCAAAGAGGCATACTCTAATGGACAAGATGAAGAGCAGAAATTTATCCAAAACCTCAGTTTGTTCCTCTGTACATATTTAAAAGAACATGGTAATTTGGTGGAGAAGCGTAATGAACTTCATGAGACTCTATTAACAGTGAGTATTGCATATTTTGTAAAGAATTAAAACAGAATTTACCTTTTCATGTAAGTTTTACATAACTTATAATGGTTTTTCATTTAATACTTTTGTTATGGAATCTAATAGTTTGTACTATTTACATATTTAGTCAACTCTCCACAGGCATCTTTTCCTGTGCATATCATGAGATTTTAGTGAGATACATACAAAATTTAATTAAACTACTTTCTTTTCGTGGTATACCAATAAATATAGCATAAAAACTTAGTTAATAATCCATATTTTAATAGTATATAAGTTTTAAGTTCTTAATAAATAAGGCAATTGAAAAAAAAATCCTGAATTTTCCCTAGTATTAAAAGAAGTTTGAAATTTAATGTAATTAATCATTATAATGTTGTCATCGCTCAGGCAAAGCTCAGTTACAAAATAAGAATGAAGGCTGGACAAATATGCTTTGTCTGAGTGATGACAACATTATAATCAGTAATTTACATTAAATCTTGTACTTCTTGGAGGGGTGGTAAGTAAATTAGAGAAGATGGAAGGCTGGAGAGAAAACGTCACAATTCTTGTACTAGGGGATGTTGGGGATTTTTTTAAGTGTTGCCTTATAAAATTAAGAACGTAAAACATGTATAATATTAAAACTTGGATTATTAGCTATGTTTTTATGCCAAATTTATTTGTATACCATGATAAAAAAGTAGACTAATCAAATCTTGAATGTTACTCATTAAAACCTCATGACATGCAGAAATAGATGCCTGTACTGAAAGAGTTAACTTTGGCAAGATAATAGTAAAAAATAAATTATGGAAATAACTGTTACCCATGATAATGTTATCTAACTCTTGCTGTAGTGTTGACTAGCTGACTTGTACATTTTGTTTGTTGATCCACTATTTTCTATTTTTATAAAGTGAAGCCTTTTAGTGGGAAGTTGCTAAATTCCATTGTACCATCTTTCAGACAAGGATTCATAGTTTTAGTAGGACTATATGAACATTTTACATTTATTTCCTTCTTTGAAGCACACTAAGAAATTATGGAGAAAGTTTGTATGTGTTGTCTGTGCAGTTGCATTTTGTCAAGTGTCATCTATATTAATCAGAAATTACAATTTGTTTACCTGAAAGGCAGTACAATTTAATGCTTTATTTACTTTTTTCGTGATGCAGTTTTGGATAAATAAAGATGGTGTATGTCTCTTTTACTGAGTATCAGGAAATTTTATTATTGTTCATCACTGCATAAAAATTTTGATAATTATAATATGGCTTTCTTATTATATAAGTTGATAGGTTTTTACAGCTTCGGGTGTCTGGAAAGGGGGCATTCTTATCGTTTATTCTTATTTGATTTCAAGTTAAAACAATTCGGCTGTGGTAGTGGGGTCTGTCATCAGTTAAGTTTTCTTATTCTTTAAATTAATGTATTACTGTGGAAAGATCATTTAAGTGTTCTAAAGATCCCTTTTCAAAAACTAGTTATTTTATTGGAAAATATTATTAAGATAATGTGTTTCTGAGTTTGTTTTTAGATTGAACTGATTATGATTAGTAGGCAAAATTGAGAACTGTTTCAGTTAAATTAATAACTGAAGAAAGAATTCTGTTGTTTAGAAAGTGTTACTTGTATTTTGTACTAAGAGTTAATTGTTTTTTAAAACATCAATATAAAAAATGCATGCAAAAATCTATAGACTAGGCAATTATGTTCATGTTTTCATTGATTATGTTACTACTTTTGTTTCAATTTAGTGTTTTAAATAATTTATTTTTTTGTTTGTTTCAACATTTTATTAGGCCCTACATTATTTATTGCTGATATCTGAAGTTGAGGAGGTTGAGATCTTTAAGATCTGTCTGGAGTACTGGAACTCCTTAGCAGCTGATTTGTACAGAGAAAACCCATTTAGTGGAGTTGCCACATCACCTGTTATCCTTTCTTGTGGCCCTGGTACTCTTGTACCTCCCAGGAGACAACTGTATCAACCTGTGCTTACTAAAGTAAGTGTGTGCAACAGTTTTTTTGTTTTTCATTTTAGTTTCATTTTTTGTACTTGCTTTTTGTGCTTTGTATCATTATTTGGCTTTAAAATATTTAAAAATATAGGTAGCAGCACACTTAACACAATAATAATTTATTCAGTTAATAGAGTATAAGTAAGACATAATGCACACAAATCAACAAAACAAAACATAATATTCATAGCATATAAACACTTTGGTATCCAATGGATCCACTATATGTTATAAAATTCTCAACATCATCTTTTTTTCTTTATGGAATGTATAATTTTGTCTAATTGAAGTTTAGAAATTATAACTGTAGCCATAGTTGCATTAACTAGTTGGATAAATATTTTTTTTTGTTGACAAAAAGCATTATCATTGCATCATAGAATTTGTAGTAAACTAGATTATTAATTAATTTTAGGAATTGGCTTATGGAAATACATCTTAAGATACAATAGTGTAGCACTATTTTATCTTTTGTTTAAGTTCAGAAAAATATTTACAAAAATTATGATGTTTTTATAAGAAACAAATATAGATGATATAAATTTAATTGTTTTACTTTTGCAGTTAAGATATATCATGATTGGTCGAATGGCAAAACCAGAAGAAGTGCTGGTTGTGGAGAACGAACAGGGGGAGGTAGTAAGAGAATTTATGAAAGACACAGACTCAATACAGCTATACAAAAATATGAGAGAGGCATTAGGTACCTCAATAACTTAGTTAATTTAAATTATTTGATAAATAAACTTTTGTTTTCAGTAAAGTGTAAACAAGAGCTAAACTTGATGTGATACAGTTCAGCTGTCAAATTTTTTAAATTTGTGGTTTCCAATTTTGTATTCTTTTCAGCTACTTTAATAATAACAGGGATGTGAAAAATGTGCATATTTATGGAAATCTTCATACTTCACTTGATAAATGTGTCTCCTTAAATTTGTGAAAATCACTTAAGTGCCAATGAAGTGACATGCATATTGCTAACCTTATATCATCACTCAGTAGTAAAATTGGAAAAAAAATTCAGTTACAAATGTTTGAAAGCTATCAGCAAGATTTGTGTCATGGTGGTATGTAACATCAGTTGTATGTCTTGCCCTTTTGGGATTGCTTCTGGCAAGTTTTCTCGGACTTCTTATATTCCAGTTCGTACACCTGTTATATTTATGTGTTCTGCCAATTGTTATCAGAAAATTATGTAATACACCTTAATCCTTTAAAGCCTAGTGTTCGGCATAATACCACCTTTAATATTACATTGATGTCAGTAATTCATAAAAGTCATTGTATTTTAAACAGGCACTTGACATGATAACTATTGGACTTTTTAGATACAAATTGGATTTTTCTGGTCAATTTACAATTTATAATGCAATAAAAATTACCACATATCAAAGCTATTTACTATGTTACACATGACCCACATAACAGTCAACCTGAAAGCTAGTTTTCATACCTGTAGGATAGTATACCTAATGATTATTTTGTAATTAACTTGAGCGGATAGATCATGCACCTATGATAACCCAAGACACTTCTTTCTGCTCGTGCAGTATGCTCTTTTTTATGTTTAACTTTGACTCTTTCTCTTTTTTACTCTTGAAGAAGAAAAGTCAATTATGAGAAAGTGTCGAGTTTCTGGATTTTTTGTATCTACTTGACTTTTTTGTGATCTTTGTGTAATTCCTTCATCATGGCTTCTGCCTTAAGAAGTTTCATGACACATGATAAATAGTTTTGGAACAAACTTGCCTATCTCTGTGATTTGTCATAGCTTACTGAAAATTCACAAACATCAGAATGCACTGCACTAAATACCAATGTTAGGGTGTGCTCTTACAGTGCTACTATTGATTAGAGAATTCTATACTATGCAATGAAACTAAGATTAAATTCAAATATTGCCAAATCTCAATTTTTGCTCTTATCCTGAATTTTAGATATCATTAATTTCAAAATATGTATTTGATTGTTAATTTTTTTTTCTCTAGAAATGAACATTCCAAAGTGCTTTGTTTGTAAAAATTTTTCACAAGAATCATTTGTATGTATGTTGGGAAGAGCGAGTAGGTTATGTAGTTTAGGAAATCAGGATTAGAAGCTCAAAAATTTAGCTTATCATGTATTTACTTCATTGGAGACTTTAATTTCTAATATGCAAAATTTTGAATTAAGATTTGGTGTTTTGCAGTTTACCTGACCCATTTGGACTATGTTGACACAGAACAAATCATGACTGAAAAACTCAGTAATCAAGTTAATGGAACAGAATGGTCATGGAAAAATTTAAATACTGTATGTGTTTGGATTTGCAATATTTACATATTTTATTTGAAACATGTAGGGTAGTATAAATGTTGTTTCTATATTTCTATAATACACAAGTAACATATTGGTCAATAAGTCTATAGATTATATATCACAATTCATTATCAGTGGAAGATAAATTTTTAGTTTGTATTTAAAATTTCTTGAAAAAAAAAGTCAAATTGTTATAGAACATATTTTAAAAACCATAGTTGTGTTTGCTGATTAATGATGTGCTTATGAACTTCTTAGTGAAAATATAGTTGCTAAGTTATACATTTGGAGTAGACTTGAATAAAATTGGTTAAAATAGGCTTAGTGGGGTTACTCATGTTTTAATTAAATTGAAATTGTGCACTTGAGTTATGTAAAATTCCTCTCAGTTAGGTTTATTTACAATCATAAGTTTTTAGTTCTTTTCAGTTAGGTTTATCTACATTTAGGTTAACATTTTAAGTTTTTTTTTCTATATAGAACATTGTGATTATTTTGTTCACAATAATATTATTAATCATACTCTTGCATCTTCTGTTTTATTTAATCCTTTTTATTTAAAGAACCCTATGTCAACTTAGTTTTGGTATCCCACATGGTGAAAAGCACTAGAAAGTGCTTGAAAGCATGTGTTTCAAACTTGAATATATATATATGTGAAGTATTAGTATGAAAAATTTTATTTTATTGCCTGATAGGTGTGGGTACCTGGGTTGAATAATATCTCAGTTGCTATAGCAAGACATCATTGACTTAAATACTCTGATAACTGTCTATTGTAAAAGTATTTATTCTGATATCGAGATGTAGAACAGTCATGAAAGCTTTTTGTCAGTATTAGATAAGTTTGCATATCCTGCAATGTTTCTGACAGTGCATGCCAACACAGCAGACAAGATTCACAGTTATCTTAACAAACTGATGCTAGGTTACTGAATAAAAACAAATGTATATATATTATTTATTTTTTCATCAGCTGTGTTGGGCTATTGGATCAATTAGTGGAGCCATGTATGAAGATGACGAAAAACGATTCTTAGTAACAGTCATCAAGGTATGTTTTTAGTAGGTCTAAGAGTTTTGATTTACTCCTAAATTCTACCTTTTTAACTCATTCATTTGAATATTATATTTAATTTCGTTTAGTGTCATTATGGTCAAAGAAAAGTAAAAGTAATTAACATAAGTTAGACATAGGCAATAGCATAAAGTGTAGTATGATTTGATAGTAGTTTTTTTTTGTACCTTCTCAATTCAAATCTCAAAAAGTATGCTCCAAAGCATCATAATACAATTTAATCTTTGGATTTCCTGTTTTTCCATTGTTGTTTTCTCTGATTTAATATTCATAAAGAAGTTAGTAAACATAGATTTAAATGGAACCACTTGCCCGTGAAATTTAAGTGTATTGATAAAGTGGAACTGTGCTAGAACAGAAGCAACCTTGGAGTTTTATTATATATAGATGTTCATTGATGTTTTTGTGATTTATTTTTATGCCTATCAGAAAAGTTGAAAATCTCACACTCAAAATATCCTCAGCTTAGCACAATATAAGCTGTTCCATGACTATGCTTGCCACAGATGTCAATGTGTAAACATGCTCATAGCTGTTTTAATTCAGATTTTTATGTGTTAAAGGCTCATTGATAATATAGTAAATAAAACGTTTATATATGTATTTCAATAATGAATGGAATCTAATAAATAAATGTTTAAGTATAGAACTAACTTTTCTAATATTTCAACATTTTACTGGACATCACCAATGAATAATGTCACATTGGAACAAATGTTGATGAAACCTTTTTTGCTTGTTCTTTATTACTTAACTTCACTATAACTTAGTGATAGCATGAATCATCAGCTTTAGAATAATTTAACTACATTTTATGGATCAAAAGACTGTGCACAGTGGAAGTTTTGGGTTTTATTGACGAGCAGTTGGTACAAATAACCTGGTGCAAAGTGATTGGCTGCAAGACAGCAAAAGTATTTGATTTTCCAGTTGATAGTCAAGTTAGTATTTTGTGGGTTATCAAAATGTAGAGTTTAAAATAATGATCATTACTTTGAACTTGAAAAGAAGTGATTTTTTTATTGCTTTGGTGTGGTGTTTCAGTAGCATTTCAGTTTTAACAATTTTAATCATTTAAATATCACGTAAATAATACTCAACAATAACTGAAAAACTGAGTAAGAATTAAATAAGAACAAAATAATTACTTGTATGTATAAATTAACAAAACAGAAACTGGTTGGCATGCATTTAAGATAGTAATATACTACCAGTATTATGAAGTTCTAAGTTCATTTTAATTTAATAAAATAGTCATAGGATATATTAGCATTAAAGTCTAGAAAAAATACAAAATAGTGCAGATTGAAACATGAAATATGCTAGTATTTTAAAAAGGGTGGCCTGCATCTTTTTAGTTTTTGGATTTTTTTAAGACTATTTTCTTTCAATTGCTTGTATAATATTTGGTTATTATATGAAAATGGTTAAGTGGCCTACAGTTGTCATTACATCTTTGTTGAGTGTCTAAGGAAGAACAGTCAACAACTTCATTATTCTAGTAACTTGGCTAAATAACTGACAAAGAAGCTTCAGTAGTTCACAGATTGTCTTGTTTAATTTGAAGACACAGCTGTTCATTTTTGTTTCAGCAGTGCTGTGTTCGAGAAACATGGTTCATACTGTTGATAAAGAACAGTTTTGGGATGGAATTATGTATTTTCCAAGAATCAAAACCATCAATTACTTATCATTTAAGTTGCTTGAAGCACAAGTATTCACAGAAGCTTACTAAAATTTGTTTAATAATAATTAAATGGGAGTATTGTACTAAGCTAGTTATTTCAGATTGCTATTAAAATACTATAATTAATCAGCCTACAAAGCTTTCTATAAAAAAAAAAAGTTGAGCAATGAAACTGAAAAATAATGTTTTAGACTACATTTTATAATACTTAAACATTTATATAGTTTTGTTAGAGTGCCTTTTTAACATTTTGTAATGAAGGCATGGCTTAACATCTGGAATTTACTTAAATTTGAAAATGGTTTGAGTAGTATTAAAGTGTGGGTTATCCCAAAGTAGATGTTGATTGATTAGTGAGTTTGTTACTGTCAGCCTGTAAGTTCAGTTTGGTGAATATTGAGTTTTAGTGGGTTGCTAGAGATAGAAGAATAGTACGAGAAGGCTAGGAATATATTGATATTGTTTTACTAGATCTATTGTTTAATTAGGCTTACTTTAGAATGTTATTTAACTCTTAGCGTGGGCTTAGTCCCTGGGACTGACCTCTTAACCATTTTGTGCTTGTTATAGGTTTCAGGCTATAACTTTAAATTAGTAAGCGTATGTTAACGAAATTTTGCTGATTATAAGTAAATATTACAATGCTTTCATATGCAAAACATATCAATTTTTTTTATTAATTCTTAAGGTTTATAAAGCAATGTTTTTCTCATGTCTGTCTTTTCTTTTCTCATGTTGCCTATCTATCATGCAAAGTAATATTTATTTTAAGATTAAAAATACTTTTATGCATCAAAACATTTATAAATTTCACATGTGAAATCTTTATAATTTTGAGATAGTTATCAAACATTTCTTAAGAAAAAACTTTATATGTTATCTTTATTTTCAGTAATTAATCTCTATATGTGTTTCGTAGATTTGACCGATCTCGCAACCACCATAAAAAATTAGGAAATAAATATAAATTATGCCTCTTTCATCTTAGAATGACAACAAATTATAAGACGAAAACATAAATGTTTAGACTAAATAGCTTAAATCTCATAACATTATACATTTATATATATATATTTATTATTTTTATTATATTGACCTTTCAGCTGTGCCTGGCTAACAATACAAAAGCTACAATGGTGTGGCACATGTGCACTCATATTACCGTATCCAATAATATAAAACTGACCTTTTGTCTTTACAAAGTGACCTGTCTTGGCTGTGTTTTAGTAGACTAGTATTTTGAAAAATACAGTCACATTTCAATTATTATACATCATATATGTATATAGATTATTGCTATCTAGAAATAAGTTCATAAACATATTTTCTTAAAACATAGAACACTAAATAAAGAAGTAAAGCAAACAATTATCTCTTCTAGTTACAACCTTTGTACTTGGTTGCTACTTGATGTAGGTTGCTAAGCCTTTTAAAATTTCGCATGTGGAAGATATAAAACAAAATAATTGTTTTAAGATTTTATATGTATATACAGTTGAATATCCAAAAAAAACCATAAATTACTATATCAATACCAAAGAATTCCACTATAATTTATCAAGCTTAGTAAATAAGCTGTATTTCAGTTTTGAAAAGATATGAAATTTTAAGCAGACACAACTTACCTCCTTGAAATCCTAGTTTGAAAGAAATAGATGGTGTCCAAACATGTTAAAATGGCTTAGAAAGCCACTAGGGGGACATTCTAAGCTTTTGATTGGTTATTCGTGTTGTATATAGAAGTAAGTGTATATAAGGGAGTATTTCCAAAAATGGAAATAAGTGGGTGGGGTGACACTGTGCAGTATGAACAATATCTTAGGAAATAGAAAAGATGAGAGGCTCTTATTTTATATTCTAGTTTGTCAATATCGGTAATTGGAGACTATAGACTTAGTATTTTGAACGAGACTATAGACTTAGTATTTTGACATCACAGTCATCTAATTTGCATTCAACATACCACATGACACACAAAAATCGATGTTTAACTGTTTTGTTTTAATATTTACTTTTAAATTAAGAAATTAACTAATGTATAATGCTAACATTTTTAATTATCTACAGTTTGATACCAAACTTATTGACATACATTCATGAAATAATAGTTCAATAAAATTTTGAATGTGAGTCAACAAACGTGATGACATGGCCTTTCACCTGTGACACGTATGGAAAGAGTTAAGCTGACATTTAGTTGGAGAAATAAATGGTATTTGCAATCTCAGTAGATTTTTTTAGGTTGTTTAAATTAGCATGTGAAACAGAAAGCTTTTCTGAAATTTACTTTCAAAATATAATTATAAATAAATATTTTAATGAAGAATTTTTTAACAGAAGAATCTTTAAAAGCTTTACAATTTTGGTATATCAGGTAACTGAGATGGGTGATTTCAGATGTACAAGTTCACATTTCACATGTGAAATGTGGTGAAGTTGATTTACTGAAGTACTGGAAACTAGAAATAGTAATAAATATTTCACCATCACTCATACTGTCATCTATAGCTCCACCTAGGTGAAAGGGAGATTTCACATTGTACAGCTAGTTAATACATAAAATGAAACAAAACACATGTACAGTGAAGTATAATTAATTTGTTTCTACAACATTTCGTTCTGTTAGTGTCTTTATTAGTCACTTAAAGAAGTTATGGCAATTATCACTTGGTGTAATGAAATGTCTTATTTTTTAGTTATGTAGCTATGATATGCCTTTTCATCAGTTGCTTACCTAAATTATTATATAAACTATAATGTTTAAACTTCTACTATCATTGTCAGTCATCTGGCAAAATTGTTATAAGAACCACTGGTATACAAGATAGTGTGTACAAGATGTTATGAAAATCGGATATGTAGAAGATAATGAAATGTTTTGTTTCGTAGCCATGTTATGACAACAGGACAGTTTAAGAAACATTTGTCTTTGTTACAATATAAGAAGGTTCTTATAGCTTTTTAATATAATTAGAAACTGAATTTTTTTTCTTTCTCTTATTAACTAAAAATTATTCATGTTACAGGAATTACTAGGATTGTGTGAAGGGAAAAAAGGAAAAGATAACAAAGCAATTATTGCTTCTAATATAATGTATGTCGTGGGGCAGTACCCGAGGTTCCTAAGGGCTCACTGGAAGTTCTTGAAAACTGTTGTAAATAAACTGTTTGAATTTATGCATGGTAGGTTTAGCTTTGATATTTTGTTGGTTTTAGAACTTTTGATCATGTTTATTATCTTACAACTGGGAAAATAGAAAATCTGAGTATAATAAATATTTTTTATAGTTTCTATTCTTCAAGTGAAATTTCTTGGATGAAAAACTTGTAATATGTATTAGCTCAAAAAAGGGGACTTTTAATACAATATCAGTATAAATTGGTACAAATATTTAAAAATAATGTTTTCACAAAGTTAATATTGTAACCAGTACATGAGCCACAAAATAATAAGTTGGGAAATATGTGCTTCTTAAATGTAGTATTTCTTTTATTTGATCTCAAAAAAAGAACTGGGTGAAAGAGTAAGTTATTTTTAACTTATTGGAGCTTGAAATGATTGAAAAGTGTATAATTGGTAATTAGGTCACCAAATATATATTTATATATATAACCCAAAAGAATATAATTTAAATTCAAAGAACATTTAATGGTAATCATGTTTTATTCATGAAGTGTCTGTGTTTCAGATACAGTTTCATTTGTGAGTTATTAATTTCTATGAATGCAAATGCAAAAGTATACAAAATCATTTCATCTGGCTGGAAAAGGATATGTAATCTGTTAGGCTGTATAAAATTTGTGAACCACATACCAATTGGAAATACCACCTAACTATTTTTTATATACTTGTAAGAAAAATTAAAAGTTGAAAAAATGTTTCATAAAATTACATATATTCAGTTATCAATCCAAAAATATCAATATCAATGAAAAAATTTAAAATTGCTAAATGTGTAATAGTTTTACTCCTCCCAATACATTTATTCTATCATTGTTATCTTCACACAATCTTTATTTAAATTTTTATAGTTTTATCAAAATATGGAATTCAGATCTAAACAAAATCTTTCGTCAGTAAAATCTGTCTAACTAATAATGAGCCCTAGGATTTTAGTTTGGATTTCAAGTAATTGAAAAGCAAATGTATAAAATGTAAATCTAAATGACATTAAAAATGTATACTGTGCCATTACACAACATGCTTGTAGCTGTTGACTTGAAAGCTAAGTTTCAAAAATTATTTATCTTGCTGTATCTTATTCATGAAAGTTACTTCTTTAATCATTTTAAAGATTATGTACAGCTGTTTCAAAATGACCTCAGTTTATCTTGACAATGTTATAGTAAATTTCACCATGATGCTCCACAGTTACTACTTAAATAATTACTGGAACAACAACAACAAATATGGATATAAAACTATGATATTGTTAAATTATTTGGAGTTATGCTATCATTAGAAAATTACACTTTATGTAAGGAAGAGATTTATGGCAAATAAATTGTGAGCACGAAATTAATCCTGTCTTTCAGATGATGTATTAATGATTTTTATTGCTTTAGAAGTTTGAAAGTCATAAAACACAAAATGCAGCGAGTACAATTTTACAGTTTATACAGTACTATCAACTTAATTCACCATTTTCAGTCTATTTGATCTAGAAATATGCATAAAACTACTAAGAACCCGGATTTGCAGCTTTTCTTTGTATATCGATAAGTTTTATCCCGCTGTCAGTAAGTTCAAATATTTCTACTCCCTAAATAAATACTACAAATGAGGAGGTGTAGCAGAAAGCTAATATAAGGTTAGCAGGTTGAGTTTCTGTTGTGCTATCCCAAAAATATGTTAATATTAATATTTGCCAAAACAAAATTCTAAATTTGATTATTGCAGGTTGAGTTTTGTATTGTGGGTGATCTTAAGAGAATGATAGTACAGAATTTTATAAAGATGTCATTTTCACTTGTTAGAGAAATACTAGATGCTGGGTTGGAAAGGGTTATATTCCATATTTTTTTTCTCACAGCATTATCTTTTGTTTATATAATTGGATTTTTTTCTTTTGGTTATATGTACAGTAAAATCTTTCAAGATAATAAGTGATGTCTAGTTTACAGAATTGGAACCTGATTAATGTTCACAGGTTATTTCTGATATTAAAAAAAGCCACAGTAAAAGAGACAAAACTTTCAGAAGTCTTGATTGTGGAGAAACTAGCTTTGACACATTTGTGTGTCATCTGGCAGGACTAATGCTCAACACATTGTTGACCAGTTTTTCTGCCAGAAGATAACGTGAGACTGAAGAACACACACACAAATGTACTGAAACTGGTTTCTCCAATATGAAGACTTCTGACAGCTTGTTCTGTTTACTATGGTGTATTTTGTTCTTTAACTACTACACATGATATCATGTTATTTTATGATTATTACTAATACTTCTAGTATAGTTTAAAAGCATTGCAATTTATTTTACTAATTCAAGCTTAACAGAAGTTTATCATTAAATTGAGTAGCTACTTGTATTCATTGTGTTAAATTTACTTTCAGAAACCCATGATGGTGTACAGGACATGGCTTGTGACACGTTCATCAAAATAGCCCAGAAGTGTAAACGTCATTTTGTGCAAGTAAGTTTGAAAATACTGACAATATATTGTCATTTACAGTTTGACTGTGACACTGTTTTTTCTGTTGTAGGTCTTTGACATTGTTCTGTTCTAACGTTTTGCATTAATGTTTGTAGGTTCAGCTTGGTGAGGTTATGCCATTTATTGAAGAGATTTTAAACAACATTAACAGCATCATATGTGATCTTCAACCTCAGCAGGTAAAGCTTTCTTCTCTCTCATGTATTTTGTTCTTATAAAAAAACAACAAAAAAGGAAAACCTAATGACTATTTACCCTCTCCAGACCGGAGGGGTGTCATTTGATATCCCTTGATTTTTTTTCATTCTCACAGTGGAAGTACTAAATGAAACTGCATGAAACTTGGAACAAACTCACTAAGTAGTTTCTAGTTTTAGCTTAAAAAAATCCATTTAATTTGATTTAGCGTTACTGTAATTTATTGTCTCGTGAAATTTCAAACATTTTGTTGTGAGACACTGTTTTGAAAAAAAGTTTAAAATACTTCCTTTCATCTCAGATTTTCTGTTTTTTGTAATGTTGTTCAGATAGTTCCATTTTATATATCCAGTCAGTCAACTCAAATGATATTCATTAATATATTTCTTTTGATACTTTATTTTGCCGATTGCAGTAGTCACCACTTCCGGATATAAATCGTAAAAAACACAGCAGAAACTGACAAAGGTTTATCGGTGACCTAGGACCTGACCTTTCGAAATGGCGTCAGGTCAGACTAGGTAACAATATTTTTGCTAACAATATTCTTGGTGAAGAGCACTATATATCTAATAAATATAATTTCTTTTCAATATATTATAAGTTCTTTTATTTATGTGCATTGTTTGAATATGGTAAGTTTAAGAATGATGCTTGATAAATAAGGATTTGAATCATCAGAATATTTTGCCGTTGCCTACTACAGGGGTTACCAAACTTTCTTAAGGCACCCTAGAGCATTCTACATTCTTACTAAAGCTCCCACCAAATGCATCTGTAGATACTAAGTACCTTACTTCCATTGCAAACAACATGTTTAAAGAATGATAAAATATTTTAAGACTTGTTGAATTAATTTTTTGTAGCTTTTTTTTTTTAATATTTCACCTGCAAGTTTCTTTTATTAAATTATTTTGTACACTTGCTGAGTCCCCCTCCCCCTGAAACTTTCCTGTTGCCTCAGTTGGGGAACTCCTTGCCTACTGTACTATTATCTTAAATAAACCAATTAGGCTTACCTGATGTCTTGGCATAGAAGAAAGTTCCTGTAGCTTTCAAATAAATATAATTTTCATCAAAACATTTTCAGGAATAAAAAAAGGTATTTTTAAAGAAACTATAAAAAAATTTCCAAGATCTGTAGTTTGCTCACAAGTCTTCTGAACTTTCTGCTAGATTTTGTTGTTTTCTGCTGGAGCTAGATCTCTACATTGACATAAATTGTTTATAATTTGCTCTGACCAATTTTATTTAAACTACCTGTTGCTGTTTTCAAAGCTGAATTTCATTAGAAGCTGTTTAAACCACATGCTGTGAAAACATAAAAGTCTGACAATGAGAGACTATACTAATAAAAGTAGTGAAATATATATATGCATTTTTTAAAGACAAAATTCTTTGGAGTTTCAAAGAAATGTAAGTTTCAACATTTTTCCATATTTAGTTATGAATTATATTAAACGAATGTTAGAAAATGACAAAATATCAGTTGAAAAGTGTTTACGAGTTTAAAAATGTTAAAATAGTGTGTGAATGATTATTTTAAATTAAATTTTGAAATTTGATATGCGATTGTAAACCTGACACCTGAAAAGTACTCTCCGGTCTGGACTGGGTTAAAACAAATTCATCGTTAAAGAGGCCAGTAGAATGATAAACCTAGATGTTGAAATTTTTAGGTTTACAATAAATGTAGTGGCTTGGAAAGCTTCTCTTAAAGTGTTCCTCAAGAATTGTTTTGGGTTACAGAAGTGATGTTCCTACATATTTATTTTGTATTTTAGGATAAGTTTAGTTAGTGATTTTTAAAATATTAAACATTGATGTGTGTATTGGTAACAATTAGGAACCAGTCGTACGGAGAGGTGCTCATGATTTATGGTCATGATGTGTGCCTAGTCCTTATAGCCACTTCTTCCACAGTCAGATGTATTCTTTATGATTGCCTCTATTCATGGATTTTTGCTCTATAGTATATTTCTCACTGCAGGACGTTTTTGCATGATTCACTAAGGTCAGTTTTGCCCTGTCCTTTTCATGTGCCTTACGAAATTCATCATAGATTATGACATCCTGTCTGGGTAAGGTGGTTGGATATGCACATTATTACCATATGTTGTGAAGAATCCTCTGTAATATTATGAAGAAAATACTCTTCTCAAAGAAACATATATGGATTAGTCATTTCAATCTATTGTTCAAAAACTTAATCTCAGTTAAATGAGTTAAGTCAGCCTAAAGCATGAACATAACTTTTCATTTCTAATACTCATTGTTTGGAATAGTGACAATTATACAAAGATACTTGTAGTTTCTGGGAGGGTGGAATAACTTTAATTTTATTCCACTCTATTTTACCATTAAAATATGAGAAGTCAACTGTTACACGCAAACCTCTGAGAAATTTATCTTAGGTGCAAGAAGAAAGCATTTAATTAATGTAGGTATTTTCTCATTAAACCAGGTCCACACCTTCTATGAAGCTGTGGGATCAATGATTAGTGCACAGACAGATCAGGTAGCTCAAGAGCACCTTATAGAAAAATACATGCTTCTTCCTAGTCAGGTCTGGGATGATATAATCAACCAAGCCACAAAGGTTTGTATAGTAACAGCAACTTCCTTTCCTTCGTCCTTTCCCCTTTTTTTATCTTTTAGAAGAAGTATTGATGAATAAACTTTAAGAGAAAGGGTTAAACATTTACTTGTATTTTCCTTTGCACTTCTTCATTATTGAGAGTGCTTGTAGTAATAAATTATAAAAGTAATAAGCCTTAAAACTTAAATAAAAATGATTAAGTCTCACAGGCTTACATCAGATGAGAAAAATCAGTTTGAGTTTGGATGTGTAGAAGATTGAAAATGTGATTTTTTGACAGATTATAATTACACAGTGTGTGCACTTTAACATATTGTCAGCTACCTTTTGCACATTGTGTGAGAAATTTTGTACAGATACGTTTTTGTAGATACGTATCTACATTAGCCGATGTTTCCATTTATGAACGTTATATTTTAAGATCTGTGCAAGAACTCGGCTGACAGATGTTTATATAAATAAAAGCTATCTTCAAGTTTTGTACAAAGATAAACCTTTTCAAGAATTGAAGATGAAGCTATATATATATATATTTAATATTAATGTTAATGTCCATGACTAAAAGAAAATGGAATGGGTTGGAAAAGTTACATCAGCTGTTTATGATATGAAGAATAGTTGCATATCTTACCCTTTCCTAAAATAAAATGTAGAATTCATTTATCTAAAAGAATTTATAATGTAGGTATTAAGTATTAAAATTATTTATTTATAGCATCTAAAACGTTTAACTACTGAACTTTTTGCAGTAATTAAGAACTGTCTCAAAAATATTCACCTGTCTTTTTTTTATTATTATTTTTTATCAGAATGTTGATGTACTGAAAGATCCCGAAGCTGTTAAGCAGCTTGGTAACATCTTAAAAACTAATGTTCGAGCATGTAAATCAATTGGCCATCCTTATGTTAGTCAGGTAAGGGATCTTTTCAATTCGTAAAAACAAATAACTCGGAAACAACACAATATCTGAAACTCAAATGTGTCCAACATGATTTTTATTGAACATTACTTTTTGTGGTAAATTTAAGACTTGGAATAAAAACCTCTATGTGACACAGCTGTATACTCTTCCATTATACAACACACATGTTACTTTACCTGAAAGTGTTTGTTCTAAAAGTTACATACATTTTCTGTCTTCAAGATTCATCAGTGTTCCTCCTGTACTGTTGTATTATCTTGTATTATCACAAAATAAGTAATCATCCTAAAAAGGGTAGTTTGTATTCAACATTTAGAACAATTTGTATATTCTTGCATAGCTATTTATAGCTCAGTAGCTATTTATAAATATGCATCCAAAATATAGTTCAAGTAAGACAAAGTCAGTGAGAAATCAAGTGAAATAGATCTAGACTGTGTGTTTGTATGTTCAGCTGTAAAGAGCACATAGTGGAACCTTTTTTCAGTGAAAGTATTGCAGAATTTATTGTAAAAATAGAGTAGAGAAGAAGAATTCGTCTTTTCAATTGTGTTTTAAAGTAATTGAACCAGTCTGTGTGGACTTTGATGAAAAGAGATGATTTTTAAAGCTCTGGATACCACTGTGGTGATTAATTGTATAACAAACATTTGTATAGATGTTTGATTTGTTTTTATATATTATTTTAAAACAAGTGGACTGTA